TATCAACAAACAAGGGAATCTGTGTTTAACTCAGAATTTATTACAAACACTATATTCAGAAAGTCTTTCTGCCTTTCTACTGTCTGTTGGGGAGACTCATTTGAATTTTTATTGCAGGCTTATGACCTGCTAGATTCAGGCTGCATACTGCATACTCACTTAAAAGCTTTGCTCTGGTTTGGACACTGGATACTGTTAATTCCTTTGTTACCGAGACTACTGCCAATGTATTCTGCTCTTTCTTTCCATTGTTCAGCACGTATGACCGAAAGAAGTTGCTCATTAGGTCTACGAGTTTACAGAAATCTGTGTGTTTTCACGGCGCGTATATGCCTATTGATTTTGTGTGCCAGAGTCGTTTTAGCTAAAACTTGCTTGTGCATCACTCCAGCATTCTGTCAATGACTGTGTATTCATTAAGTGGAGCACGTTATGTGGCAAACGGTTTCCTTTTGGATAAGGGTGATTAGGATAGTTGATGAGGTGATGGCTTGGGGAGAGGGAGGGGACGTTTTAGCTCCAGGGTCTGTGGCATTATTCATGTGGACGTGCAGCTATGCCTCCTGCACATTGCACCACTAATCTAAATCTACAAGAATGAGTGAACTACTGTACTCGTGCACACTGAGGGGAAACAAATCATAACTGAGCACCACCGCCAAACGCCCGCCTCCCCACCACCCCACCTCACCACACCCCATCCAAACACCTCTTCACCCACTTCACCTGGGGAGCCTGGCAGTTATCGACCAATGAGGGCGACTTATTGAGAAAAAGCTGCCACGAAACTGGGTCGCAGGAGCCAATCAATGCCATAGATTTCTTGCCCTGGCATTATCTCAACTGAGAGAAGGGAGAGGGGGGTGGGGGTGGGGTGGGGGTTGGATGAAAAAAGAAACAGACACAAATCAGTCGGTATGGAGGCACCTCGACTATACCTCTCCTCCCACTCCCTCCATCCACCCACTCTCTCCAATCTGCCTTCATCCACCCCTTCCTCTTTCCTCCCTCCTGCTATTCATTTGCTTTCCCGTCTTTTCTGTTGTTTGTTTGCCCCTGGGCTGAAAACTCTGTGTGTTTATGTGCTTGTGTGCGTGCGTGTGTGTGTGTGTGTGTGTGTGTGAAAGCGCTCTGAAATGACGCATTGATTCACAGTGTTCTATATTTTCTCATCTGGCTCACTATTACAGTGAGAGTCAATCGACGCCGTATTTCTCTCTCTCTCTCTCTCCCTGCCTCTCTCTTTTACTTTCTCCCTATTTCTTTCCCTCTCTCTCTCTCTCTCTTTCTGTGAGTATCAGAGTATCATGTTGTTGAATGGAAGTGTTTACGAGGAGTGTTGTGTTGCAGTTACAAGAGAAGGGTTTGGAGTGTGCGTGCATGTGTTGTGAGTATCAGCGGTGTGTTTTGTACCTGTGTATTTGTATGCATTATTTTCTAACTTGGAACGCGGCACGAGGTGTTCAGGAGTGCACGCTCCTTTTGCACACTGTGTGGGGGGCATATGGCAGTGCTGTGGCCTCTACTGTATATCTGACGGTGTGTTTGAGGGGATGCCAGATCTGTTATTTTTTTTTAACATTTTTTTATTTTACTTTATTTATTTTTTTTTTTAGTGTGTGTTAGTATTTATATGTGTGCGGGAGGATTTGCTGGTGGGTATTTGTACCCTGTGGTTTGTGCACACGCTGCACAAGCTCCAGCTCTGCAACTCCACCCTGTGACCCACACATAAACACACAACCGCACACACACGTGCGCACACAAAAACACATCCTCCCACTCGTGAGGACTTTTGCCAGAATCAATAGAGGAGCTTTTTAATGCCTCTTGCTGTACTACGAGTCTGAAACTGGAGCGCAGGATCACAAGTATGGCAGTCGGAGCCTGGCGTTTGGGACGCGCCCCATTTTAAGTCTGTCTCACATCACCATCCCCAAAAGAAAGAAAAACCTCCATTTATCTACTCAGTGACTCCGTACCTCAAATAAGGAAAGAAAATACGTTCACTGGTGATATACTTGCATCATATGGACTGTGTTGTTCGGTTAGTTGTTGATGTAGATTTCCATTGATAAACACATTTTAAAAGAGCTGTAATTGCGTCAGTTATAGCGGTTGTATGAAAACGTCTAAAGTGCTGCTGATCATTAATATTTTGTGCTTTGGATGAAGAGAAACTCTCTTGCAAAGACTTCTGACCCACACTGACACACCTCTTCACCAGTAATATACAAGGTACTGTAAGACACTATACAAAATATTATAGCAGAAGAGTCGAGGAAAGCTGGTGGTGCAGGTTATATTTTCTTATAGCAGAAAAGGTTAAACAGATCTGAACTAGTAGTTTCAGTGTTGGCTTACTTACTGTGCCTGCAAAATACACTTTGTGCATCTGGATTATGTTCGAAAAAAATACTGAATTGAACTTGATGCCAAAGAAGCATGAGTGGAGCATACATACTTTGCTTTATGAACAAAAAAATGACAGAAATGATCATTTGTTGCCTTACAGACCCTGTGACCGTTCACTGATCCACGAATGGTTCCAGGGATTCCTCCACTGACTTAGCTCTCTTTTCACTGCATTGGTTTCACAGTCAAATACCTCTTGAATATTCTGAATGTCCTCAAACAATACAGCAACACTGGTTTCTGTGTCAGTTGTCAGTGGAGTTGATTTAATTCTGTTAGCAGAAACTTATTCTCCATCAGCATAATCCTGTGTACCTGTACTTTCTCGTGCTATAATGGAACGAGGAAGGAACGTGAAAGCAATTTGTCATCTATCGCGAGTAGTTCAATGTCAGTGTCACTTTTACATCAGTATTTTTGCTTGTCACTTGTTTACCCAAAGTCTCTCCTGACACCGCACACATACGCACTCACACACTTGCACACACATTCGCACAAGGCAGCCCTTAGTACTTTGTCTGAGCTACACCAACAGCCTACAGCCATGCTTACAGGGCATTTCCACTAGGAAGCCAAATCCCCTCTTCTCTCGGCTCACCTGGCAGCGGGGAAAAAAAAAAAAAAGGGACGGCAGAAAACTTTTTAAATGTAAGGGTTGGGGAGCAACTTTGACGATAAAAAGCGCATCAGGACACGAAGTGAAGGGGAAAGAGGCTTTAACGGGGGGAAAAAAGGGATTTCATTTGCAGGGTTTTGGTTGTGTTGGCCTGTGAGTGGGGGATTGATAGAGGATGGAAGGAGAGAGAGAAGGAGGTGAGTGAAAAAAAAACAAGACGGAACGGAGGAAAGAGGGTGTAATCGTGCGCCATAAAACGTCCCACTGCCTTTCCCAGGGCCAAGTCCTCGCTCTGTTTCTAATGAACTCATTTATTCTGTTTTGCTGGCTTTACCTCCACCAGCAACAAAAGACAGTCTCCCGGTCTGCCTCTCTGAATGCTCAGCTTCAGGGTTTGTTGAGCATCTAGGTCTGTCCTATGGCATTACCTTTGTTTACTTAACGCTCACCATCGATCAAATGCAAACCTGAGACTGTCCTCTGCTGGCAAAGGCATTGCTAATTAGCATTTCCTTCTAAAACAATGTTGATTGCAAGTGACTGATTACATTTATTTGCTGTTGAAGCATTACTTTGCAGCATGTAAAGCCGAATACAGTCTCCTTCCCTTAAAGATGTAAAGACAGAATCCTTAAAAATGTTGTTTTTGTGCCCATATATTCCAGTCCGTGTCAAACAATAGCAACAAAGGCAAAAACATCAATCGGCAGCACACTTTGTGTGAACACAAAATCGCATTCTGGTTTTGGCCAAATATTTAATCTCTCCTCCTCTCTCTCCCTGTGTCTCTGTCTCTCCCTCTCTCTTTCTTTCTGAATAATATGCCACTGGGAAGTGAAAAAAAAAAAAAAAAACTGAGAGCACGGATCCCCACTCCTCCGCTCTTCTCGACTGCACGTCTGTGATGTCATAATCACTCACATCAAAGGCTGTGCGCTCAACACGGCGACTGTCAGCTTCCCTGGAGGCGTCATTAAAAACGAACAGAGCAAACCGAGCCAGGCCTGACAGAAACGCATCAAAACTTCCAAACACACACATACGCACGCATGCGGGGCTGCTGTGCACGTGGGTGTCGTGCACGCTTACGCACAAGCGTTCAGGTGCATGCACATACTACTCAAGATGTATGACAGAGAGACACACACACAAATATGTAATCAGAAAATCATGTATACACTAAAGAAAATGCTCACATTGCACATAATCCCTCAGATTTACAGACGCGCACTGCTAACAACTGAATCTCTACGTGTTCCCTGTGACAGCGTCAAAACTTCCTCGTCCCATCGCGCATGAATAGGAGGCGAGAATTCAAAACGTTGCTTCCAGCTGCGTTTCAGTCGTAACATCCACAACATGTGAACATCTGTCGTAAAGATGCACTGTCGTGATATACATTCGTGATGCACACTTGTGTTGTTTGCCAGTCTGGGCCATAATGCAGAGCGTGCACGTAAATGTAGAAAGAGCCTACATCCATCCGCCCACCCGCTTTTCATCCCTCTCTGTCTATCTCGCGCACACTTGCCCACACACATGGGTGCATGCACACGCACAGACACACACTCATTTACACAAACTGGAGGAAGGACTATAAATAGTATGCCTATGATGTGATGCTGTGTGGTTTCTCCCTATGGGTTTGTCTGTGTGTGTGTGTGTGTGTGTGACTGTCAAAGTGAAGAGAGAGGGAGGCAGTGAAAGTGTGTGGGGGGGTGGGGCAGAAGAAGAGGAGGGATCTTTAAGAGAAAGAAGGGCTACGCTCGTGTCTGGTGTACATCCAGTGATGAACAGTGCACGACAAGCATGGCAAAGACGGAGAGACCCCTTTGATTTGAAATAAATATAACGCATTATATGTTAAAATGAGCATCTGTGTTTGTGTGTGTGTGTGAGAGAATCCGAGATGTGTTTATGTAAGATTTTTGCTTCTGGGTCGACATGGCATTCCTTGTGTATGACTTACTCCTGGCAGGGTCTTCTGCTCGTGCAATGCATTCTGGGCTTTCAGGGCTGACTCTCTGGCACAGTAGGTGAGGAAGGCACAGCCTGAAATACAGCAAGAGAGAGAGAGAGAGGAAGAGAAAGACATAAGCATGTTATGTGGACTGAGAACAGAGAAGGAGAGACAGCTTTGGGAGGGGGCTGCACCAATCATCAGCAAATAGCCAAAAACAACACACACATGCACACACACAGGAACACACAGTGAGCCTGCAGCCATAGCTGTCTGTCTACATGGCCGCACTGGGAATTCGCTCGTGTTTGCGCGTGTGTGTGCGCCTGTGCGTGTTTGTGCACCGTGAACGGCATTTCAGTGACCAAACAAACGGAACATTTCTGTGTATACAGACGCAATCCACGCACATGCCGAAGAGAAATAAGTGGGACCAAAAAGCTGCGGCGCCGTGTGACAATTTGTGCATTCTGTTGCGTGAGAGCCACTATGCCCACATCAACACATCAAATCTGACTGAGCTTTTTCCCTGGCATTCTGAAATAGCAGTTATCCATTCGTCCATCGCACTCTTCTGGCTGCTG